TGCCTCGCTCTCTCTCCCTCTCCCTCCTGCCCCTCCTCCTCCTCCTCCTCTTCCTCCTGACCACTGGGTCATCTGGCACTGGTCATCTGAGCGGTCCTCTTCCTCCTCCTTTTACGTTAGACCAAAATTAGGAGCGAAATTGTTGCGTTTGTGAAAAATGATCAATTACAGAACAGGCCCTGGCACTGCAGCAGCGCGCAACGGCGAGAAACAAGAACTGTAGGGCAGTTTGGAGCAGCAGAGAGACAAGAGTATGCTGCAGCGCCTGGGTGTGGCAAGGACGATCTCCTCCCCCATCCTCCAATAATCATAGAATCTCCCTCCGCCCCTGCGGCAGCATGCCGAAGTGTCAGGCTGGCCAAAATCGTCTGGCTGGCCTGAGTGGCAATGTAAACACGCGGTTTTCTGTCGTGGGAGGCACCGACTGGCCTGAGGCAGAAGCATACGGTAAACGATCTTCGTCTTACTCCACCTTACTAGTCAGAGAAGCACCTCTCCGCCTCCTCTAAATGCGACAGCATGCGAAATGTCAAGCTGGCCATAATCGTCTGGCTGGCCTAAGTGGGCCGGCTCGGACGGTACTGGTTTGCCTGAGGCAGCAGCATATTGTAGGCGATCTTCGCCCTCCTCCACCACCTTATATGTAACCCACCACCACCTCCTCCACCACACAGTGTGTACCACGAAGTGCGATATGGACAACGAACATCAATTGCAACAAATAATTGCCTGTGAGAGCTGCGGCAGAATGGGAGTTCCAGCATTTGCTTAAACTTGCGAGCGGGCTCTCCTCGGCATCAATACTCCAAATCAGAAGTGTTCTGTGAGTGCCCTCACTGGGGGTGAAAATAGCAACGGCGCTGGCAACTTTGATCCTTCGCCGCTCTACTAACTTCTCCACCACCTCCTCCGCCACACAGTGCGTACCACGCATGTAACAAAGTACGATATGAACAACGAACATCATGTGCGAAATGTAAACAACTGTGAGAGCTGCGGCATCATGGGAGTCCAGCATTCGCGGCTTAAACTTGCGAGTGGGTTCTCCTTGGCATCAATATCAAAATCATAAGTGTACGGTGATTGCCCTCACCGGGGCTGAAAATAGCAACGGCGCTGGCAGCTTTCACCTTCCTCCACACAACGGTCCTTCCCCGCCTCCACCACACACTGTGTGTACCACGCATGCAACATAATGGTAGATGATGAAGGGTGTGCGTACTACAACCATACAATGCGCACGCACGTGCATTAAGGTGTGCCACGTGAGAACAAACATACAACAGCAACAGCATCAGTGAATCATTAATATGAGATATGGCTTACAACATAAGATAGCGAATGCGAAACATGGAATGCTTACGAAGTCGTGGCGCTCCAGATTGCATCACAGTGTTCCTCGTTTTTACAGCCGTCCAACAGCAACTGCTCGCTATCTCCTGCATCGTTGCCTCGTTCCCAAATGTGGCAGAACACTTTTTCGATGTAAGGCGAATGTTCGGAATTAAACTTGATGGCCGCATTTTTGAAGTCGTCCATCAATCTCGATCTTGATCTGTTGATGAACTCGATATTGTCGCAGTTGGCACAAACTGGATTGCTTTTGGTGATCACCTGCCATCGCCCCGTTAACGGATCCAAGTTGCCAAGCTTTCTTTCCGTCCCATTGAGGGTCTTCTTATTTTATAAGCGTGCGAAGCGCACTGGGTTTCAAAATTTGAAGGTATTGACACTTGTACTGTCATCCTTCTTCGACGGGGCGTCATCTGTGTGCTCACAATGTTCGGGAACCGTGGTCTGGCCATTACCATGTGCAACATTGTTGGCGTGCTGCCTGCAGTTCTGTATTGCTGCGTCGTCTCGAACAATTCGCTGTGTCCGATCGTGGAGGGAGGCGTCGTCGACGATATTTCTACAGCGCAAGGTGCCAATCCACTATGCGCGTGGCTAATGATATTCCCAAAACTATTGTCGACTGAAGCTTTGGCTTTGGATTCAACATCTGACGCAGAATCATTCGGTGGCGGCGGCAGCTGCACTGACACAAAGTGCGGCGGAAGCGTAGACGGTGGAAGTGGCACCAGACAACGCGGTGTCAAACTAGACAGATATGGTGGCAAAAGAAACCTTGTCTGCAATTCCTGACCACGAGGGATGAACGTGGCCTGCATGTCGTTATCTTCTACAGCAGGAACGAACACATTAGCATTAATGTTCCATTGCCAAGAGTTGTTATTTATTAGGCGCCGATGGGAGCAGCGCGCATGGAACCTGTCTTACGCAAACAACTGCTGGCATGCATTGCAATCACTATACGTCAGGCGTGTTCAGGCGTGTTCAACCCAGCGGGTGGGCCTGCCTCGAACCCGCCTAGTCCCGAGGCGGCCCGTACTCTTGCCGCGGAGAAAGTTCTCCGTCCTGGTAATCTCACGAGCCGTCGCCAGGCCGTCCGCTGCCACAAGCGCCCTGGCAGCTGGCGTGCGCCAATGCCTCAGGAGATGGGCGCGCCACGTCCCCGACAGGACCTGCCATCGCTCGCCCCATGGGCCCCCGTGGTCGGAGATCAATTTGCTGATGCCCTTGTGGTACGCCTTCGCTGCCTCCGCGGGGGTCGGTTGCTCTCCCGGGGGCGCGCGGACGGGCCCGTGCAGCATGCCGACCATCTTCCGCTGGGCCGCGTCCAACCGCTTCCGCAGCGTCGGCGCGGGCGCTATCGGCGGAAGGCGGTAACGGAGCCCCGCCCACACTGCCCGGGTCATGTTCCGCATGGCCAACCGCACAGGAAGCCGGCCAGCACTGCGCACCCTCTGCCTCCAGAAGCTCTTCCACGCCTTCGCGACGGCACCGTCGAGCATGACGTGGTGCGACCCGTCGACGTGGATCATGAAGCCAAGAGCATCCAGGCAAACCGTCCTCACCTCCCACTCGCCGAGCTGCTTCTCGTTCGGAGAATCCAATAGGGACGGATGGACCACCTGCACCGGGGCGGCAGGCGGACCGAGGGTGGCAGAGAGCCGTTCAGAAGCAGCACTGGTGTCGCCGAGAACGTGCACCACGGGCACGCGGGAGCACAGGCCCGCGCTTTTGCTGCCAGTCAGGAGGCCTCTCGTGCGTTGGCCCACCGACCCAGCCTCGCCCACGATGGCAAGGGACACGTCTGGGCAAAGATGGAGCCTGGCGAGCGCGACTCCAACGGCGACGTCGGCGCCCCAAGAGGTCAGGCACGCTGCCACGCGCAAAGGCTCCACGTTGTCATAATACGCCTTGATGTCGCCTGCGATCACTGTGTGCTTGGTGGACAGATCCGCCGCGGCCTCCGCGACGAGCTGTAGCGGGAAGACCACGTCTAAACACTGTCGGCCTTTGGAGTTCCCGAGGGCCCTGTCCGAGACTCCGAGGCCATCGGCAACGCTATCCACCAGAGGCCCAGCCATGTCTATCAGCAGCAGGTGCATCGGCTGCAGAAGGACCGGCTGCGGCAGCAGTGCTCGGAGGTCGTTGAAGGGTGGGGCGCTGGTGGTCTTCGACTTGAGCACCCCTTGTATCTGCACCCTGGCTAGGAGGGACGGAGAATTGAGCAAGTCCGTCAGGAGTTTGGCAATCGGCCTCGGCCTGGCCTGGAAGGCAAGCTGGAAAGCCCGCACGGCCACGCCGTACCCGTCACACACGGCCTTGCTCTTCATGTTACTGACAGCGTCCGCCCACTGCTCCATGAATGGGGCCACAGGGGGCCACTCCGCATCCACAAATGCCTGGGCCGCGGCCGCCGCCTCCGAAGCAAGATCGCCCGCTGCAGTCCATTTCTGGTGGAAATATCGCAAGGCCTCCTCACGGCAGACTGCTGGATCGATCTCGACGCGCGGGCTTCCCTCTGGCCCGAGCAGCAGGGCCTCGACTCGAGAAAGGGCCTTCGAGGATGCCACCACACCGCCAGAGCATATCCGCAGGCGCTGCGCGGCTTGCTTCCTCTGCGTGAAGCGCTGCCGGAGGGCGTGCCATAGCTCACGCTGCCGAGCGTCACGGCTCGCAGCGTCTGGGGCCTCCCGAACCCTCCGCCGAAGCGCTTTGACGACGAAAGGCTCTCGGTCTGCGCGTCGCTGCTTCCGGGAAGCCGCGTCCCGGAAGGCCCCCATTGCTATTCGGATCTTTGCGACTAACTCTCCATGGTCCCGAAGCTGATCTGGGCACCTCGCCGCGAAGAAACTCATGAAGCCTTGCTCGTTGGAGCACCGCCACACTTGTTGCTGGCGACGAGCCCGGGTAAGAACTGGCAGGGCTGTGTCGAGGACCAGCGCCGCATGATCTGCCACGGCTGTGGCCCACTGGAGAGAAACTTTTCATCGAAGACGCGGTGAATGCGCACATGCATCTATCAGTGAGGGGAACTGGAACAGCTCCTGGTCCCCCCTCGGCAACCGGCTGGCCACCGTGTACCCTTGCGCACGGACGTGCTCGGGCAGGCTGTGGGCTTCCGTCGGAATGGCCTCCACGAGGTCGACCGTCTCAAGCCAGAGTCTAAAGCTATTGAGCCTTTGGGAGTCGCGCCTGGAGGGCGTGGGATGGGAGGGCGGTGCAAGATGCCGGTGTTCAGCGGCACGGAGAGAGTCGATATTGAGGTCCCCCGCCACAATATAGATATCACGTCTCCCTCGGGCTGGTGGTAAAGCTGCACGAAGAGCGTCCAACTGCTCATCTAATTCAAGGCTTCCGTGAGGAAAGTGACAAAAGATACAATGCGCCAAATAGCTAAGGGAATCGGGCGGCCCAGCCTGCAGCGAGACCACAATGTATCGGCGCGCAGCCCGGATCGCCTTCACAGACCTCGCCACAGAACGCCGGACGATGATCAGCTGCGCACGGGAACCCGGCCCAGGCCAGATACGGTAACACGTGAAGACCGCTGAATTCAGATAGGGGATCGCCTCGGACCCTGGGCGATTGCACGCATCAGCTTCTGAAACGTGAAGTAAGCCCCAATCTTTCCATGCAAGTGAGACCGCCTCCACGAACGCAAGGATGCCCGTCTTGGAGTTCAGGGCAGCCCCCGCGTTGAGGGAGACGATTTTGAGGCGCGAGAGGTCCTCTCAGGCGTTGCTGGCGAAGGCAGCCCCCTCGTCCAGCACCGTGGCGTCGTAACGGCACCGCGCCTTCACCGACCAGGCCCACGTGACGGTGCCCTGGTTGACGGTCCCGATGCGACCGAAGCCTTGGATGGAGACAGACTTGGACCTCTGGCAAACCTGAACCTTCTCCGTGCTGTAGCCGTCCTCGCGGTAGGACTCCACCTCCTGGATGAAATCAGCCATCTTCCGCACCATCTTTGATGGCTTCAGCTCCTCCTTGGACTTCTGGGGAGCTAGCCAAACCGGCTTGGGCTTGCCCTCCACCGTGCGGAAAGACTTCTCCAAGTCCTCCACCTTCTTCGCGGCTTCCCGAAGCAACTGCGGCGTCCCAAACTCGAGCTCTGCCGCCGAGCCTGAACCCCGGAAAGAAGCTTTCAGATTCTTGTAGGACTCCCCCGGGACGCGAGCCGATTCCAGGACGGTCTTGGCTCGCTCCACGATCGTGTCCGGGGTGTCGTCCCAGCCAAGGTTACCGAGCATGGCCTGCGTACGCTGGGACCACGGCGTGGTGTGCGGCCTCTCCTCAGCAGTGCGGGGCGGACCGGACTGGGGGACAGCGACCGTCCGCTGCAGCAGCTTGATGTCCGTGTCCGCCTGGTCGCAGCGCCCGTTGATCTTCGCGAGCTCGGCGTCCACGATACTCCTGCTCTCCTGGAGCTCGGCGACATGCGCCTGGGTGCTCTGTAGATCCTGGCTGATCTTACCCATCGAGGTGTGGAGGTTCGTGGACATATCCAGCATGGCCTGCTGGCACTGCTCCGTCTTCGCTTCGAAACCACTGAATAAATCACGAAAGAACTGCATCTGCCGCTTCCCGAGAGCCGGGGGGACTTCAACGGGCGGCCGGCTCCTGTTCGAAGGGGCTGGCGAATGGTACGGCTCGGTCGAGGGGAGCGAGCTTACCGAACCAACATCGGCGAGGTCCCCGTTCATGTCCCGCGGCTGCAGGTCGTCAAAGCCGCCGTCGTCGGCGTCCCCGCTTTCCACATCGACGCGGGTATACTTGCTCCCAGCCTGGCCACTGAGAGGGGTCCCCGCCTTCCTGGTCCGCCCACCCCTCATGGGGGTAGCAGGGTGAAGACGACCTGGGCTCGGGGTCCCTGCTGCCTTCTTCAGGCCGAGCGCTGCCCAGGCGGCCGGGGTGGACACTGGCTTGGCTGGTGAAGCTGCCTCGACCCTCCCTCCTCCGCCTCCTGCTCCAAGATGGCCATGTCCACCACCCGGAGGAACGCTCGCAACTGCTCCCTCAAGGCCCGGAGGTGTTGCAGACTGCCCAGCGCTGCCTGGAGAAGCTGCCGCGCCCACATGGGCAGCCGGGCTCGCTCCATGAGCAGGGACCGCCCCCCCCGGTGCGCTCGACGACGAGCTTGCGGGCCACGGCCAGGGGACCTGCTGCGCCGGTCCTGCTGCATGGCTCATGCGCGGCAAGGACTGCAGGGAAGCTGGAGCGGCGGGCAGCCCTGGGCGAATCCGCTCGCAGGGAAGGTACTTTCCTAGCCTAGTCAGGGCGGAACCGCTCGCTGACTTGGGAGCTTGGGAGCTTGGGAGCTTGGGGGCTTGGGGGCTTGGGAGCTTGGGAGCTTGGGAGCTTGGGAGCTTGGGAGCTTGGGAGCTTGGGAGCTTGGGAGCTTGGGAGCTTGGGAGCTTGGGAGCTTGGGAGCTTGGGAGCTTTTGCTGCTGCTTGCTATGTGGCGAATCCTGAGAAATATACTGCCAAACTGTTGTGGTGTCAGCCCGATTGAGAGGAATATTGCGCGTACGAGCTAGATACCCAAACCCCTGAATGGCTTTTGTGGCAGCTGCGCGAGAACATGATGAAACATGAGAACGATGAGCCATGCCTGAAGGGGTGGGGCAAGGCCTCGACAGTGTCGGAGAGTCTCGTTCAGTACGCGGCTAGCCCACCTGAGGGCGTGCGCGCATGGGTCCAGACCCGCTTGGTCCAAACCTTCCTCCTCCTCCTCTTCCTCCTCGTCCTCGTCCTCGTCCTCCACCTTCTCCTCCTCCTCCTCCTGCTCCTCCTCCTCCTCCTCCTGCTCCTCCTCCTCCTCCTCCTCCTCCTCCTCCTCCACCTCCTCCTCCTCCTGCTCCTCCTCCCCCTCCCCTTCCGTGGTGTTGGTCGTCCTCCTCCTACCGCCTCCTGCCTCCCACCTCTCCCGCGCGCCTGCTCCTCCTCCTCCCCCCCCCCCGCCCTCCTCGCGAGGCAGGAGCGAACAGCTCCCCCCCCCCGCGGCGGCCGCCGGCCTGGGGCCGGCGCGGCCGTCGTGCCGCGCCGCCGCCGCGCGCGACGGCGCGCTCCCGCCGCCCCCGGCGCGGGCTTGCAGTGCGCCCGCTCGGGCGGGGCGCAGCGGCGGCGCGAGGAGAGACCCTCTCTCCCTTACCCCCCCCCTGGTGAGGGGCCCGTTGTCCACCACCAGCACCACCATAAAGTTGGGGGGGGAGGGTGTCCTCCTCCTCCTCCTCCTCCTCCTCCTCCTCCTCCTCCCTCCTCCTCCTCCTCCTCCTCCTCCTCCTCCTCCCGTGGGCCCAGGCCAGGGGCCCCATGGCGGCCACATGGCTGTCGCTTCGAAGGATCTCTTGGGACCTTGTCGCCAGCCACGTTGTTAGGGACGACCTAGGCCGAGTCTACGACCTCAGGACGCTGAGCCCAGCAGATTTCAAGCACTTCTTGACCGAGGGAGTGCAGAGGTGGCAACACGGCCGCCTCTTGCGGCATCTTTATACTGTGGGTGACGGAGTAGCTATTCCAGTCTGGCACAGGGCCCTCAGGTATGCGATAAAAGGGATTCGATGCGTGAAGCGTCTTGGAGCGATTCAGGCACACTGGGCCGACGGTATCCCTATACCTGCCAGGCTGGATTTGAAGGCTGGAGGCCGATTCCGTCCCTGCGCAGCTTGTGGTCGCCAGATCAACGAATGCTGGGGACACATTCTGTACGACTGCCCTGCTCTCTTGGAGGGCGACCCCGATGATGAATTTGCTGCCCTGCCTGAACAGCTCGTCGAAGTGCGAGATCGCCTGGTGAATTCTGGAGTCGGGGCAGGTCGTCCCGAATGGGACTACACATACCCTGTCTATGGGATCCCTGAGCTTCCTGTCGGGCTACCTCCGAGAGAGTCTGTGAGTTCTGAAGTTTTGTACTGGGGCGATACCGAAGGGCAATGGGGGCCAAAGTCGTACACGGACGGTTCGGGGTTCGGGTCGAATGTGCCAGAAACCAGGAGGTGTGGCTGGGGCCTATGCCAGTTGGACCCCGACACTTTCTTGCCGAAGCGGGCGATTTTCGGCCCATTGCCGTATCTAATCCAGACAGTCGGTCGTGCTGAAAGATATGCTATACGTATGGGGCTGGTTGTTCATCCAAACCACGAGGTTTTCGTGAGCGATTTACTCTCTTTGGTGGAGGAGGGGAATGCTTGGATGGACGAACTTCAGCACGGCCGAAAGCAGCATGCACGTGTGTGGCGAGATATTTTTATTGCAGCTGAGAGGCGGGACAAGAAGCTGCCGCCTCCAGCATTCCAGTGGACCCCTGCGCATCGAGACATCGAAGCTGTGGTGTCGAGCGGGGCTGGTACTACGGAAATTCAAGATTGGCTCGGCAATGCCTGGGCGGACTTTTTCGCAAGAGTTGGCGCTGCTCAACATGCTGTCGCAAAGGTGACGACGGAGAGCGTGGCGTCCGCCCTGAAAGAGCACCGACTGGTTCTTCAGTATGTGTCCTGGGGAATCCAGAGGGTGGTGGAGTCTCAGAAGTACGGACGAGATGTGTTTCCAGGGCCCCGTCCAGTTGAGATTCGTGCGCCTGTGCTCTTTCAAAAAGCGGATGATCATGTATTGTACAAGAACGTCAAGACGGGCGTTTTCAAGTGTAGAAGGTGCGGGGCCTCAGCCCGCACGCCTGCATCCTTCGACAATCTGCGTGTGGGTGGGGGTCGGAAGTGTGTGCCCAGCAAGATCACCCAGGCCCTCACAAATGAGTTCTTCAGGACGTCCCTCGACGTGTGGGAGATGCCAGTGAGTGATGCGCGCGTGGCCGCTGCCCTCGATGCCGCTGCCGCCTCAGAGCCCCAAGGAGCCCCCGAGGAGGCCGAAGGAGGCCCCTCCCAGCCACCTGTGCTCGACGGGGCCTCTAGGGAGGACGTGGACCCCCTCATCCTGGAGTGTGGGGCTCTAGGGCACGATGTGTTCCGTGTTAATTCGATGTATTGCTGCCGTCGTTGTGCAGGGCATTGTTCAGTGTTGCAGGTTAATAGTCTCAGGAAGCTGAAGCGTGAGTGTGTAGGCCTCTCTGACAACCTCAGCACTCGGAGGAACCAGCTCAGGGCGATCGACAGGATCAGCCGTGGGCTCGAGCCACGTCAGCGAGGAGGGGACCCCGAGCCCCCGCCGTAGGCTGTTTTTGGTCTGGGCCCCCAGGTCCCTGGCGTGTGTGGTCCTGGGGCCCCTCGCGTTTCCTGGTGTGGCCGTTTTTCCCTGTCCTTGTTTGTGCTGAGGTATGTCAGTCCAGCTGGCGTACTCTTGGTAGCCTGCACCCTGCACCCTCCTCCTCCTCCTCGCTCCTCCTCCTCGCTCCTCCTCCTCGCTCCTCCTCCTCGCTCCTCCTCATCGCTCCTCCTCCTCCTCCTCCTGTCCTCCTCCTCCTCCTCCTCCTCCTCCTCCTCCTCCTCCTCCTCCTCCTCCTCCCCCTCTACGTCCTCCTCGTCCTCCTCCTCCTTCCCCCTCCAACTTATGGTGGTGGTGGTGGTGGTGGTGGTGGTGGTGGTGGTAGAGGAAAACAGGCCCATCACCTTGGCCTTCTCCATCGGTGCTAGTGAAACGGGTGCAGTGGAGACCCATGCCAAGAAGCACCCTGCTTGGCCCCAGGGTGCCCTGGGTTTCTTGAGGTTTCGATGGTGTTGCTATGAAGAGCGTGAGGTTCCCACACTGAAAATCAATGGACGTCCTTCGTCTCTTTTCCCGTCAGCTCTGAAGGGCAGGGTTTCTGAATGGGGTGGTGGGGATACTTTTTCTGTTCGCAACCGCTAGCGGACAGCCGCGCGGCGTCGACGAGAGTGAAGCCAGGCCTACGTGGAGCAGGGCGGATGCCTAAACAACAGCTGGCAAGCGTGGAAAAGAGGCAGGGCAGGGGGGCTGGTTTGGATACGCGAGGCGTGAACACTTTCCCATGAGTTCAATACCCTTTCACCTGGCAGCCAAATGATGTCAAGGACTTGTCTGTCACACCAACTCCTTTGTCCAAAAACGGTAACGGAAAGGAGAAGAGCAATTGCACAGAGCGAACCAACGGCATTACAGCAAAATATGTCCAACCATAGAAATACGAGTGTGGCGCCGCATCGCCGAGTACGCTTGCTCGACGAAACCTGTCGAAGATGGCGGATGCCGCTGTCTGCGAACATGTGCACCACGTACGAAGCACAACTCGATGCGCGAAAGGCAAGTGGGAGGCGGAGGACTGGAGCCAGGATTGGGACGTCCGACGAAATTGGTACGGAAACGAAGGAGACGATGCCAGACAGCAAATGTTGTTCAAAATCAGCAGCGGCCGCTGTTGGCCAGGCGGCCCAATGCCTCGCATGGACAGTATCCACACCAGCACCGACGGAGAGCCCTGTTCAGACTGGGCAGGCATTGCAGTCAGCCTTCGCCCCCATTCTTTCCGCACACGCTTCGCTAGTACAGTGGAGGCCAGTCCACAAGAAACCTTCCACAAGAAACCCAACCCTGAGACCCCTGGGTGCCGCGTGGGGGCGATGGGAGGAGGAGGAGGAGGAGGAGGAGGAGGAGGAGGCGGAGGAGGAGGGGAGGAGGAGGAGGAGGAGGAGGAGGAGGAGGATGAGGCGGAGGGCCGTCGGGGTCGTGCCCCCGGGGCCCTCGAGGAGTGGTGGGCGTGGGCACCTGCCCGCCCCCCGACGGCGGAGCGTGTCCCTACCCCCCCCTGCCAGGGATATCCGGTGCGGGGCTCCCGCGGCCGTGGCACGTGGCTGTCTCTCCCAGCGGTGCCGAGGATTTCCTCC